AAAATTCAAATCTATTTGAATTTGAAATTACTACATAAATTAGAGATCCTAATTTTGGAAACTTTCCAAATCATAACCTTTTGAATTTTAAATTAACTTGGGATGAAATATTTCTTCCCAAAGTTAATTTATTAATTTAAGAAAGCTTTGATTGCCTCTTTAAACCACACCTCCTTTCCCTATTGTCGCCGGCCCTTCATCCAACCGAACCCAAGCCCAAGCCGCCCCTTTTCCTCTTTGGAATTTCTCTCCATCATTGCCTACAATTACTCCTTTCCTAATTGGGTTGAATAATTTAGGTAACTCAATAACTTTGCAAAATTTAAATTTATTTGAATTTGAAAAGTTACCTAAAATATCATTCCTATCTTAGGAAAGTTCCAAAATCCTCTCTTATTGATTTTAATTTAAATTAGGATGAAATATCTCATCCCAAATTTGATTCCATAATTTAACGAAGCATTAAAAGCTTCCTTAAACTCCTCCCTAGCCCATTAAGCCGCCGGCCCCATCATCATTAAGTCCTTGGATTTATTTCCTAAAACCAATCTCACCTTTTGGAAATAATTCAAACCTCTTCTCCCCAAATTCAAATTGTTACATAAAATAAAATTCTATTTTAGGAAACTATCCAATCAAATCCAAATCAAATTAGAATTAAATTGGAATTAATTCATCCCTCCTTAATTGGGAGTCCCAAAGAGGCAAAGCATTAACTCTTCTTCCAAATCTCCCCCACCCCCTTACCCATTCTACATCAGATACATTGATAATATTTAATCAAAATAAAAGAAGTATATATATATATATACACACACACACACACACACCTCTACTAATTCAAATCAATGTTCATTTTGGAAGAAAAAGAAAAATAAAAATACTAAATAATTTTGAATTGTTATTTCTTCTTACTAGTTTTTTAAATTCTGTCTTGCACTTGATGCAGCTACAATTAACTAGTGATTTGAAAATCGAATGTAGCTATGAACATTAACGCATCAAGTGGTTCCCAACTCAAATAGTTCCCAACTCGTTCAACGCACCCTTTCTACTCCCTCATCAACTCGTTCTCTTACAGCTGAACTTTTGCATTTGCATTCATCTAACCCGGGGCAAAACTACTACTATCATCCTCAAGAATAAACAAAAAATCTTGAGGAATACATATATTGTGGTTATCTCCAATCTCCCAAACAAAACTATCCTCAATCGCTCAAAGAGCGTAAAAATGAGCTGCCTTGTTGTGCTCCCTATACGTGTGAACAAACAAGACCCCTAACTCGTTCTCTTACAGACGAGCTTGATTGATGCTTCTCCCACACTAATTCCTGCTCACTTCATCACTAATTTGCTAGATTGTACTCCCACACTTACTCTCTCAGTCAACTAAACTACCACATTAACTTCTCTTCTCTTCCTCGATGACTTCCTAGTATAGCTTCGTCTCTGCCGACTCACCAACTAGCGTTACTTATCCTGGCCAAAAGTACAGTAGCTGTTGCCTCTATGTTTTCTCTTTTATAGAAGAAGCCAAAGATCTCAATTCTTTGCCATCACCTCTCAATGGATATCTAAGGCTTGTCATAAGGGCTAAACCATAAGGTTCCGAGTAATTTTTAAAATTTTTACCGTTCACATAACATGAGGCTTTGGCTTTTGAGATCAAAGAGAGTTGACTATCAAATTTTTTACCAATATTTATGAATGAGTTATTAGACTTTTGAAGTTAGAATATGAATGAAATTATAGTGAATTTTGAATTTAGATATTTATTTTAAATTATTTTATGAGTAAAAGCCCAAAATAGTTCTTTGATTATTAGTAAATGCCCAATTTAATCTCAAACTTTTATAATGCCTCAATTTAGTCCCCTACTATTAGAAAATGTCTCAATTTGGTCCCAAGTCCAAAAGTAACAGTTAAAGCAACCCAATAGTTAAATGTAAGGGCATTTTAGGTATTAGGATGCATATGAGATTATCTAATAATTTTTATATATTTTTTCATTTATTCTATTAAAATAAATACCAAAACTATAATGGAAGTTAATCAAGAAAATAATTAATAAACTTAGTTAACTTTCATTATGATTTTTGTATTTATTTGAATATAATAATCACAAAATATAACCTCATATACATCCTAATACCTAATATGCCCTCACATTTAACGGTTGAGATTAACTTTAACCGTTACTTTTGGCCTTGGGACAAAATTAAGACGTTTTTTAATAGCCGGGGATTAAATTGGAGCATTATGAAAGTCTGAGATTAAATTGTGCATTTATTAATAGTTGGGGGACTATTTTGAACTTTTACTCATTATTTTATATATTGATTTTTAATTAATTTTTATTTATAAAACGTATGAAGTATAAAATTCATGAAGTTGACACCCTATGACTGGTAAAACGTCTCAATTTTACGCTTTTATCTTTTAAAACATTGCATGATGCACAAACAAAAAACATACATACACAACTATTATATATAAATGCATAGTATTATATTGGTAATTGAATGGCTTAAAATATAAATAAAATTAAAGAAAATAAATACGTATATACACATCATACATAGGTCCACACAGGAATAATAATAAATGTATATGTATGTACATGCACATTTACATGTAGAGAGAGACATGTCTGCTTATTTATTGAGTCACCTTCAAAGTAAATTGAATGAATTAAGAGCAAAACATCCTTGACTTGAACTTTATATAATTTTGAGTCAATTAAAATTCAATTGATAATCAAGTAAATTTCAAGTTTTGAGCAAATAGCCCTAAATTATGGTTTCCACACGTTACATTGTCTATACCACTAATAGAACTAAATTTTGAAACATGCCACGCACAGAAACAATGCTAGTGTTCAAATTTGAAGTGTTTTCCTCCAAGAGCTACCAACGTTTAAAATTGCGCAATAAGAGGCGCGCCTCAGCGCAATTTGGTCCATTTAAGCCTCAAAGCCAACGCAATAAGTTCAGTTTATGAGGCTTACGCCTCAAGTTTAATGAGGCGCGCCTCGCCTCATATATTTAAGGATACAACTGAAAGATCAAATGCTGACTTGCAATTAGTACCTTTTAGGAACAAAGAAGGTTTTTTTGGATTACAACAAGCAAAAGATACAATTGCCAAACGATCTCCAGTTGAGTGGTGGATTCAATTTGGTGATGGGACTCCAGAATTACAGCGTTTTGCTGTGAAAGTTTTGGGCTTGACATGCTCTTCATCTGGCTGTGAAAGGAATTGAAGTACCTACAACCAAGTGCATACAAAGAGAAGAAATCGTTTGTCGACATTGAGGATGAACTCATTGGTGTACATTATGTACAATAGGAGACTCAGAGATAGAAATTTGAAGAAAAAATGATTAATGGATGATGAAGATCCTTTGCTTACGATGATGTGGCATCTGATGATGAGTGGTTTGTAGATGATGAAGTTGAAGTGATGCCGTCTGAATTACAAGATAAAGATTTAAATGTTGATTTCTTTGATGGTCTTAAAGCATCCACATCCACCACAACTCAAGAACAAATCAAGAACAAATCAAAAAAGGTATATAAATAATATAGTTTTCTTTTCTTGAACTTTTATTAATGTTTTACACTATTATTCATTATGATATTGTTCAAAAATATTTACTATTTAGGGAAGATGAAGATAACTAATAATGAGGAAGAAGAAGCTGATTGGGAGATATTAGACTTCTAGGAGAGGGGGAAGAGGAGAGAGCAGCTAATCATATTGATGATTCAAATGAAGACCCCCTTAGTGATGACTGATGAGTGATGATAATGCTGATGACTAGTGAGTTCTTAACTTCTTATGTGATATGTTAATGTCATTGCTATTTATCTTGTGCATTTTTATGCTTTATTTATTATTTACTCATTAGTATATACAAAATTTATTATTTTATGTTTACGCAATTTTTTTATTTTGAGGCTTACGCCTCAAATCGCCTTGAGGCTTACGCCTCGCCTCACGAACGAAAAACGCCTCAATACCCGAATACGGAATTTTAAACCTTGAGAGCTACAACACTGAAATTAGTAAGATTTTGCAACCATTAAACTGTATAAGACATCATGGGAAAAATTATTTACTATATATAATTATCCTAACATAAAACAGTGTGCATCACTTCTGTAGATTTATTCTGATTATAATTTTTCTTATGATTTTTTTTTCATATTACAGTATAGTTTGAACTATATTATATTCTGAAGTGTTATGTTCATAATTCATTGTATTAAAAATAATTATTCAGGAGAAGAGGAATTACTAGCATAAGAGGGAACATTGTTGGCTGAAGAGCAGGATGCATTTCTAGATATATTATTTCTGCTTTTCCACTTTCTAATTTCTTTCTTCTCAGCAAAGGATTGATCCTTCCACACCATAATTAGTCATACCTCCTAGAATTGAGTTATAAGCTTTATATTCTTTTGGAGAAAAATATCAAAATGGTCCATGGACTATTTATATGCATCTATTTTAGTTCCAAACTATAAATTTGCTCAACTTAGTTTATTGATTTCTCAAATATGATCCAAAATAGTCCATAAATTAGATTATTTTGAATTAGATGTGGACAATTCAGGAATTAGTTTGGAGAAAATGTAAGGAGTTAAGTGACTAAATTTAACACATACAATAGTTTGGAACTAAAATGACGCCTCTTAAATAGTCCACAAATCATTTTGACTTTTTCTCTATTCTTTGATAATAACTATAGCTATCACCCAAATCTAAAATTCTGCATAGTTCAGTCCATGTCAAAGACAAATAATTTTTACCAAGACCAGTTGAGAAAAATTAATGCTTGATATTTAGGTTAAAAGCAACCATAAAGCATAGGCCTATTTTCATTAAATGAAATGAAATTGTGGTTGTGAACTTGCAATAAGGCTAATTATAATTATGATTAAGGATATCAATAACAAATAAAAAAGCAAATGAAATGAGCCCATGAGGAAACAAACCTTAACCATCCTCTCCGATTTAGTTGGAATATGTTATCAACTAAATTCAATAGCGGCACGCTGACATTAGGGGGTGTCCACTGCATTAAAAGCAAAGGTATCTAAGCACACAAAATCATGACAACTCAATCAAAAGAATAAAGTCAATAAACATAATAAAAAAAATTATGTGGTTAAAGACTGATTTATACCTATATTTCACAATTTGTTATACCACGATGGTTTGAAAAGTTAAAAAAGTACCAATATTTTGCTTTTAAAAGAAAAAATTTAGGAAACAAAGGTGATTTACAAAAAGCTAGTCCATCTATATCAGACAGAAAAGGTGTCTGAAACTGTTCAAGGGCCTATTAAATTGTACATGTGAATATATATGTCACTTCAACATACATCCAAGAAACTTAGTTCCACATGAAGAAATCACATTGTCAAGACGTAAGATAAAAGGGAAAATTAAAAATACATATAACTGGTTCAAAGAACATTAACAGTTAGCTTTTCAGATATGCTTTAGATTAAGTAATTAACAAAACGTTCAGCATAGTCCACGAGGAATCGAGGCGTTTTTTCTAAGCGAGGCGTAAGCCTCAAAACGATTAAAATAAATTAATTTAAAATTATAAATAATAACAAAAAATAACAAAATATTATGTCAACTATGAATTTGAAGATTTGTTTTAAGATAATATTACTGGAATACAAGATTTAAAATAAACTCACTTAAAAATAAAACATCCCCTTAGGATCAAGACCCAAAGCAGGCTCATCATCACTTCGATTGTCTTAAGAAGAATCTTCATAATTAATGTCAAAGTCATCCTCCAACTCTTCTTCATCTATAATATTTTTTCATTTATCTCCTATATCAGTTAATATTTCATTAGCTCTAAAATGAAACAATAATAAGATACAAAATAATTCATTATATTTAAGAATACCTTTAAATTTTTTTGAAGATCCAATCTCACTTTGTTTCTTTCTTTTATATACTTGGATAGTTGCTTCATTGTCTTCTTCATTGACATGACTTTCTCCTTCTGCTTCAAGTTCAGATACATCAGCATTCTTAGTAGTAACACATTCATTATCAGATTGTAACTCATCAACATGCAAAGGGTCAATTTCATTCTCAATATTTCCTTGATTTTGTAATTTGAGATGTCAATCTTTCAGTTTTTTGTTAAACATAACATAAACTAGTTTGTTCATTCGATTTGCCGCTAATAGATTTCTTTTCTTTGTATGAATTTGATTGAAGATACTCTAATTACGCTCGCATGCAGAAGCCGAACACGTTAGGCTAAGAACTTTAACTGCAAAAGCTTTCAATTCAGGAACATCATCTCCAAACTGAGCCCACCAACGTTCTATATGAAGACAAACATAGTATTTTATGAATATTGGTTGAACTAGAAGACTTGAATATAAAATATACCAGTCTGCCGGGGGTCTAAGGGGGTGCTGCCCCCTGGCGGGGTTCGACCTGAGCGTACCGAGCATGTACCGCTCAATACCGAGCATGTACCGCTCGGTACCGAGCAGTACCAGCTCCGTATCGAGCGGTACTGGCTTGGTACCGAGCATGTACTGAGCGGTACCGAGCTTGTACCTGCTTGGTACCGAGCATGTACTGAGCGGACGAATGAAAGAAAGCCGAATCAGGAGTTATTCAAGCTTTCGTTACTGCACGTCAAAGTCAAGGCCACAACACCGCGTACCTGCTCTTCCGACCTAACCGATGCCTGAACGTTTCCTGCATTCACAACTTCGGCTTCATTTCTTTCCCTGCGTCGTCTCCTTCCGACTTCGTCTCCTACACTCACAGCTTCGTCTCCTTCCCTCACGGAACTTCCTAATGTCTTTAGAACACGGATTATATATGCATATATACATATACTTACATAAATTCAAGGAATTTAGCTAAATAGATATGTAGAAGAAATAGAGAACATTTCTCCTCAACGTAGAGGAACATTTTCCTACATCTACCATCCCTAGACCCTACAACTGTATGAGGCCGACCGCACTAGGTACACTCTTCTTTTAGAGAGAGATGCTGTGATGAGAACCGTCCAAAGATGAATGGCCTCTAAGTTCCATAGCATTCAATAACAATCTTTAAGCTTCTTTGGTATTGGAACCAGAGATGATTAGTAGGACTAATCAATCTTTAGGTGTGATAAATGTTATGTTCCAATGTTGGATCAAATCATATCATTTATATTTTCAACTCCCTAGCCAACTCCAAAAAGATATTAATTGGGTGAGGTTGATCTTAAGCATTGGGCCAAAATCTTTGCTCGAACTAAAGATGTCGAGCTTCTTGCCCAGGATTAATACTCAATTTTGTCAAAAGATTAGGCTAACTATGGATTTGAGTTAGAACTGACAAAATTTATTTCCCAAGAAGCCAACTCTATCTGCCCAACTCATACCTAGCTAAATATATCATCTGTGATGTAGCCATGCCTGAAGTTTGAATGAGAAGATGAAAGCGATAAAAGAAAGAAAAAATTGAAATTGATCAAAGCAGCCTAAAATATAGATCATTCTTATATTGAACCAATTGGACGTCAAAACGAATGATTCAATGGTCAAGATGTTAAGAAGGAAAAACTTTCTATTAAGTGATTCAGCAATCAAGTTTATAGCACCAGTTATTACAAATCACTAAATTATATTCTCGAACAAAGGAAAGTCATTTAGCATGCCTAGAATTCAACCATTTTTAGCATTCACAAAATAAAAAGTTACATGGTCAAAATACAAAATAAATTTCCTATAACAAATAATGACTACAAATCGTAAAGCTTGTGCAATCACATAAAACTACAAATCTTACATGGAATATTTTGCTTAATATCACTTAGGGTTTCACTATAAAAGGTGATGTGAAACAATGTAATGAAACAAGAATTGCTTGTACGAAATTAATAAATTGTGAACTTGGCATAGTTAAACATAAACAAATGCGTTTTCAAGATAGATCTTTAGAAAATTTCACAGAAGAACTAAGTAACGACAATTGATTACAATTAAGAGCAATAGGAGACTAGCAAAATTAGTAGAGCAAATAGCACGTTAACAAAATCCACAGTTTAAAATCTAGATCATTCACCTTGGAATCCCTCACTTACACTCTTGATATCACTCAGCTTAACGGAAGAAGATTGCACACAAGCTTAGGGATGCCACTAGTAGACACGTGACGCCAAGGGGGCTAGTCGTTGGGGAAGGAGACGACGTTGGAGGAGCGGGTGGGCGTCCGGTGATTGTCCACTCTCTCGTAAGTCATTGCTCGTCGATGACGTCCGCTAGGTGGAAAAGAATACGATCAAGGTATTCTTCAACGGTGTGGTCGAATCCGAATCCAACGTCAAAGAACAGTGATTGGATGACGTCGATCTCCCCTTGAGAGTTGAACACAAATCCGTGATCAAGCTCCGGATCGTCCATACATGATCATGGAAGGATCTTGGCGTCGTGGTGATGTTATGGTGGAGGAACCGTCGCCTAGGAGAGGTGGCCAAGAGGAGGGGAGGAGGGGAATTCTCGGGTAGGAGGAGGTGGAGAGGGAAGGGGCGGGGCTAGGTTTAGGTTGGATTAGGGAGGATTATTAGAAATCTAAAATTAATTTTCAGATTAAGTGGAATTGGAGGGAAGATTTTGAATTCAAATTCAAATTGAAAGAAATAAAGTGGAAGAGAGGATAATTACGGGGTCTTAATAGAGAGCAATTAATGAAAATTGGAGAGAGAGAGAGAGAGAGAGAGAGGAAGGAATACGTGGCCGGCCATGTAGAGAGAGGGGGAGTGGGATTTGGTTTAAGTGAGTGGGCCCCAAGGATTAAATAAGGATCAAAATCAAAATCTGAAAATTAAATTAGATTTGATTTAAATAGAGAGGTTTCCTAACTTAGATTTAGACAATAGGAAAGTATTTGAACTCAATTATTTAATTGAATTCCCAATAGGAAACTTTCCTAATTGACTAAGGCTTATTTTAGGAAAGTGAGTAATTAAATATTTGAAATTTGAATTTCAAATTTGAGGGCTAGGAGGTGGTCCGGTGGGTTGAGCAAGGGGAAAAGGGGTGGCCGGGGGGAGGAAGGGAGGCCGTCCTCTCCTCACCCATCACTTGCCGGCCCCTCCCTACCCGAATTCCTTTTCTCCTTCCCAATATCCGAGCCCCCACCCTATACCGCCGGCGGCCAACCACCTAGGAATTTGAACTTAGGAAAGAAGAAGAGATCGGGCCGCGAACCTTGGAATCCTCCGACGGTTGACGGGTCTTGCTATCACCCTCCTCGGGTTTCTCCTCTCATGAACTCACTTAGAGATGAAAACAAAGAACATAAAATTTCATTCAATAATTCATCATCTATTACAATGCAAGAGGCCTCCTATAAATAGGCCAAAATGAAAGAAAACCAGAAAGATACAAATGCCCTCGGGGCTACAATAGCAACTCAATACTCACAGGGGTAAACTAGGGAAAAATAGAAAAGGCAAGAACAAATAAAATACAAGATATATCAAAAGTAAAGACTCTGGATCGTAGCCGTCGATCTACGACTCCGACGACGGTACACAAGTCGAAATCTGATATCCTCATCAAAAGGTGATTAGATGCTAATTTTCTCAGTAAGACCGGCAAAATCAACCTTAAATGCTTCATACACAACTTTAAAAACTTCATCAAAATAAGACAGAACAAACATAGGAGGTTCAGTTAGTTTATTCTAATAAATTTAACTCACTTCTTTAGTCCATTAAAATTTCTGATCTCTCAAATAATAGGTTACTAGAGCAATCAAGGAACTGAAATTTCTAATAAAGAGTCTAAACAAAGTAGCAAGATCATAAAAGCTTCATACATCTATGGATTGACATTGGAGACTCCAAAATGCCTTTACCTTGCACTCATAACCTTTCTCTTATCAGGAAGAGATTACATAGTACAAAAAACACATTCGTCATACAAGAGCACTTGTTTAGGTTAATAAAAATTTTATTTCTTTTTACAATCTCAAAAATATATCCTCCAAGTGTTAAAGATACTGATCTGGAGATGTACTAAA